GTTTATCAAGAGATATTAGCATCCGTGAGAAACATAATTGTGGAGGATCAGCACGGTTTCTTTCCCAAAAAATCGAGACGAATTTATTATGTTTTTCTGATTTTATTTCCGATGCTCTAGATAAAAGAATTCAGGTAGACACTGTGTACACCGACTTCAGCAAAGCATTCGATAAGATAGACCATTTTATTCTTGTTGAAAGGCTGGCGGGGGTCGGTATACACAGATCGCTGTTGAAATGGATCTGGTCCTACTCAACTAATAGGGAGATGATGGTCAAGGTCTATTAACTTCTATAAGGTTACCTCATAGTATAGCATTATGGTGCGGGGGTGCGCGGAGGGGCGTGACGTCAGTGTTTCCCCACCACGTGATTGTAGATTTCGTTTGTGTCACTGTCAAATGACTTGAAAAAATTTTTGAATTTGAATTCGAAAGAATCGCGAATTTTAGACTTTAGTTGAAAACAGGGTGACAAGAAGACTGAAGATATCTTTGAAAGAGTGTGAGAGGTTGTATAATAATATGGTGTAGTATTATTCAAGGCTGGTCACATCATAAATATCATAATATTATTGTGTGGACTGGTGGAGTTAAGAGTGGATATAGAACAAACAAATGTTATGAAATGCCTGTTTGGCAGCCTCCACATGAGATTCAGATAATTCCAAAGGAAAATGATGAGCTGTGGCAATGTGAATGTCCCTGTGAAGCAGGCATGTCACGGTTTTGTATACACATTTTATAGGGACTTAAATTGACAGGTAGGAAGGTGCACTTTTGATCTATCACACACACAGGTAAAAAATACATGAAATTTCAGGAATGAAGACTTGGAATATGTGAAGCTGCATATATAACAAACAGAAGTGGTGAAAATTGAAAAAAGAGAGTAGATCAATCAATGATCTATTATACAGCCAAACCATTTCAATAGTTCTGCTACCTGCTTATTAAAAGAAGGAAAGTGACCCCCTAAAATCATTCTTCCTTTATATAATTGAAGTTAATTTTACAGGGTATATCAGTCTATTTTGTTTTTTGTTTGGAAGCCAATGAACTCAATGTAAACAACTAGCTATTGCATGGTACTCAGGAACACTGGTGAGTTTATTAAATTTTACTTATACTTGCTACTTCATTTTTACATGTACCAAGGAGTCTTGGGAAAAAAGGCAATCAACTTCTTCTTTCCAAAGGATTTTTCAAATAAATTTGTTCAGCATGGAGTTGAATGTGAATCCAAAGCTCTTTCAAAATGTTCATTGAAAATGATATTGAATTTCAAATCATGCAAACAAATTTGTGTCTCAATTTTTTCCCTGGTTAGGATTTTCTGAATATGAAATTATTTTTCAGGAAGGAAGACCATGGAAATAATTGAAATAAGTGTCCTTACTGAGGTCCTTACATAGAGGTTTGTTAAATAATGTGTATTACATTCAGCTTGAATTATTTTCTCAAAATTTTAGGTAAAGGTTCAGAACATTTTGTGGAACAATGCCATTTCTTGATAGGAGATGGTATAAAAAATGTGAAGTTGGAAGAGAGACACACTTATTATGGATAAATTCAGTTGGGAATAATGGCCCTAAAATGTCCCTAATGAACTTGAAAGAAACTAATTTTCTTGTATGATTCTTCTTCCTCCAAAACTTACATAAAGATTCCAGTTTTTTTGTGATACATTTTGTGTTAATGTTATGAGGAAGATATCTCAAAGATATTTCCATTATGTTGCACTTTTATTGCATTAATAAAATGGAATGAATTGTGATGACTTCTTTATTAATTCATTTTCTTATTATTGCATTTTCAAACAATAATATGTTCCAAATTGATACTGAAATAAAACCAGTGAGTTAGAATCATTCAATTCATCCAGAAGGAAATCCTCTTTAGTCAATTGTTTCTTGTTTCTCAGAAATGATGGCCTAATCAATTTCAAAATATTTCTTCACATCCCTTGTCAGCATGCCCTTATCCACCATGATTTCATCATTAGGTTCAGACTTCCCAATAACATTTTCTTTATTAAAAAATGCTTTATCAGTAGTTCAACCTCCATATCCTTATTAATGCCAACAGTAATCAGTCCTAATGGAGTGATATTGCAATAATAATTTGACTGAGTTTCTGTAATGTGTCTGTACAACAGGAGCACTGAGGAACATATCTTTCTAGATTTCTGTCTTCAGTCTTTTGTACTTGCTGCATGTTTTGGGAAAACAGTGAACAATCTCTTGGACACAAAAACATATTGGAAAACTTCAAAATTTATCAATATTCACTTGATTGCACAATGCTAAATTTGTTTGTTTTGTTTTTCACCTCCGCCATTTTCATTTTGCCGTTCGACAAAAGACGATGGGGAAACAGTGACGTCAGGCCAGGTCAATATGAGGCAACCTTATAGAGTTGAATAGCCTTGGATGATGGTGTCAGTAAATTTTGAATTGACGCGGCCGTTACTTGATGGAAATCCATGATAAATGTAAAAACTTCACAAACGAAATCTTATCGTTTGTGAAGTTTTTTCATGTGTCAGTAAAGGTTCCCTTGGTCCATTATTTTTTATCATCTACATAAATAATATAAAGAACTGTTTTGAACATTGTCGAATACTACTATATGCTGATGACTTGAAAATATTTTCACTGGTAAAAGATGTCGACGATTGCTTGAAAATTCAAAGTGACCTTGACAGAGTTGCTGGTTATTGCGACAATAATAGTCTCTTTTTAAACCCAATCAAATGTTTTGCCATATATTCAAGAAATAGAAATAACAACCTTGAATATATCTTGACAGTCATATAGACAAATTCATCAACGGGACAAACAGGATGGTTAGATTCATAAAAAGAAACGGAATATATTTGCATAATTCTGAGACTATCAGCTCGCTATATTATGCATTTGTCAACAGCAAGCTTACCTTTGTGTCATCTATTTGGAATCCTCAATATGCCGTACACGTAAAGTTTTCAAAATGAATTGTTAAGATTCCTAGCCTTTCAAAACAAGATTCGTGCTCAGGTCCACAATTATCAGCCGATTCGGAATCAATTTAAAATTATGCCACGTACTATCAAATCATGCCACTTAGTAAAAGACGTACTATCTCAGACTTATCTATTCTCTTCAAATTATTAGACATGAAATCGACTGCCCATACTTACTTGCAAAAATAAATTTCAATGTTTCCAGTAGAAACAATCTTCGATATTTTACCCCATCCAATATACCTTATTGAAGAACCAATCTAGGACAAAACTCGCCACTAGTTCGTATGCAAAAAGAATTCGACATACACTGTCACGATCCCAATTCATCTCTCGACATTTCTCGACATCTTTGTCTCGTTTCAATTTTTGTTTGAAAAGTATGTTTCTTTACTCAGATCAATAGTTGAAAATGGTTCCTCATTTCCTGTATTTCTTCTATTATGATCTATTATGTCCCATAATTTTTACTATATTATTAATATATAAAAACATTTTCATACAATATTTTCAAATCACATTTGTATTATTGCCTGATAATTTTATACCGATAAGAAATGTTTATGTATAATTGTAGAATAATTCTTACATAGTGGATGCTGTTTTCTGGAACTTTGTTCTGTTAGCAACCTGAAATGGCGAATAAATAAAATAAATGCTTCATTGAAATATTGAAAATAGTGAATCATGAAAACCTCACACAGTGAAGTATAGTCATGTTACAATTCAGTTTATTATCACACATTCATATTAATCGTGATTTAATGCAGGGTGTTTCAAAATTCTGTGACAAGATGTCAGGGGCTTATTTTTCAGCTCAAAATAAGATTTTTTTCCTATGGACATGTGTTCGCGATCGCTTTGTTACAGGTCGACAAAGCGTCAAGATTTCAAGTTTTTTTTCTCTTTTTCTTAGCTCTTGGTTTTCGCGATATTCAGATTAAATTTGAAAAATAGATCACGTTTTAGGGTTCACATCATACAGTACTCATCTGCGACCCTTATCGAGAAAAACAATCTTTTTTTTATTTGCTACATTCAATTAAAATTTGTAACAAAAAGGAGGAAAATGTAACGCTCTGTAGGTCCGCGAAGAGGTAGTGGACACATATTTATAGGAAAAAACGTTTATTTTGACCTGAAAAATAAGTCCATGAAATGTTGATAATGAATTTTGAAACATCCTGTATATTAATTGAATATATCGATGGCATTCCTCAATGTTTTACCCATGATTCCGCTATTTCATTTATTATCTTGTTTTGCCCACTGTGTCCTCAAATGGGGACATGGTTTTTGTACAGCTCAGTTTGTTTTCACTCAAATCACTCTCATCATAATTGTATGTTATTGAAAATGAAGAGGATTGCAACAATTTCAGGAGTATTGTGAGAAATTGGGATTCAATAAAATGAACAGTATTTATGACAGTAAGAATATGGCTGTTCTCTAATTTTTCTTGGTGACATTTCAATTGCGGCAACTGTCATAATTACTTCGTTCTGTAGACAAACTCTACTCTAGTGGAATTCATGAGTTCAGGGCTATTTATTATAGTGTATGATGGGTGGCTATAAGAGACTTCTTACTAATCTTTTGCGGTGATTAAATAATGGTTGCATAATATTTCATATGACAGAATTCAGAGAATTTTCATTCCTTTAGTTCATTTTGTGTGTATGTGCCTTTGAACCCATAGGGTCATTCCAAATTGAAAAATGATTATATCAAAACGTTTAAAAAAGTCATAGAATCTGTATAAAAAAATCTCAGATTTTTATCATTGAAGCCATGAGAAAGATAGGGTCAATTCGTGTTTGGCATGCATTTAAGATTGCTGACATGTGTCTAATTATTGTCATGTAATTGTCATTGTTACTAAAATATTTACCCCCAGAGATCAAGATTACATTTTATGAGAATGGTTTTGAATTGGAGTTGCTACATCATTTTTCCTTCATCACAGTTTTGGCAAAGAATATTGTTCATATTTCAGGTTCTCACGTTATCTGGCGTGGCCAGAGTCTTCAACACCAAGAGGCAGCTACTAGCCCTGGGAGACTTCCCCAGAGCCTGGTCCATACTACTAGAATTCATCGAGAACGCAGCCCTGAGCAGAAACAACGAAGTCTCCATAGCAGCCCTAAAATCGTTCCAAGAAATCCTCTTCCTGAGCAAAAACCAAACGCCCGAAGACAAAACAGTGCTCGAAAACCGGGAAATATGGGCGGTAGCTTGGAAAATCTGGGTGAAAATCGGAGTGGAGATGACCGATGGCCAAGAACAAGAAGAGCTCTATCTGCCTAGCCAAACTTTCCTGACGACGCTCGTGCAAATATTCCCGTACGTTTTTCAGAACGTGAAGAACGATTTCACGTTGGAGGATCTGCGAAAGTTCGGTACGGTGTTAACCAACGCGGTCAGCGTTCCTGTCTTAGGGGAAACCACGCCTCCCTACGTGATATCCGCCTCCTCCGATTTGAGTTTAACCCCGTTGCACGACGGCGTGCTGCACGCCGTGGAACTGGTGCAGAAAGAAGCGATGTCGAGGAACGAATCCAGAATGCTGCCCGACATCTTTCGGATACTGTTGACGTTTGCACAGTATACCTGCCAGCCCCCCGTGGTCGGCAAGCACGCCAAAACGGCCGACTGGGTGGTGCTGAACTACGTGCCGTTCGGCGAGAAGGCTGTGGGCATGGTCGCGAAGCTGTACGAGCGCACGGCGGAGATACCCGAGGTGATCGAAGCGGGGGTGCTGGAGGAGATCGTGCGCACCCTGCGCACGCCGCTGGCGCTCAAGTACAACTGCGTGTCGGCGAGTGTGTGGAAGTTGGCGGCCGGGAGTCTGATGGCGGTGTTGCGGTGTGGGTTGAAGGTGGCCAGAGCGCAGACGGGGCGGTTCGGGTCGATGTGGGACGAGCTGTACGGCACGTTGAACGACTTCCTCTTTCCTAGCACGTGAGTTGTATTGTCACAAACTGTTGGCGGAGGTTGCCTAAGTGGTGTTGTTCTACATTCATTAGAGAATGAACTTTGAAAGTCATAATGATGAATAATAATCCAAAGGGTTTTCAAAAAAAGATATACACAGGTTTATTATTTGAATATATAATAAACATAAGAAACTTACCCTATATGTATACATTATGAAGCTAAAATTTCTGGGACCTTAGAAGAAGGGCATGAATATCTGCGTCGCCCAATGTACACCTTCATTTTTTTCCTTTTATGGATAATGAGAAGCTCCAAAGGCAAATCTGAAAAGACAATTTTATGATGTAGCTCTTGAGTTTAAAAATTTGAACTTATAGATTTTACCTTCAAAATGTTTTTTTAGTATCGTCAAGATTGCCATTCTCCTTTTTACTTGTTGTTCCAGTGTTTTCACTTTGCAATAGAATTGGCCTTCTAGAATGAAAGAGTTTGTGGGTTTCATTATCAATAAACTTTGAAACTTAGCTGGAAGTTGTAAAGCAAATCAATGTCCATATGAAAAACATTGTCCTTAGAGTAAATTATGAACATCCACAGACACATCCTGGAGAAAAATCACTATGGTTTTTCTAAGAATCTGAACAATTTTCAATTTACCCATGGAGGCCAATTTCTGTTTGTCTTGCTTGCTTGTTTGTAGTCTATAAGTATACATCATGAAGCTAATATTTTTGGGACCTTAGAGGTAGGGAATCTTCTTTTCTGTCTCGAACTCCGACGGTTCGGGCACAGTGGTAAATGATCGAATCTATGAATGATCTATGATCGAAATAAATTATCGAATTGGCCCAATAATTCAATAATACCTGTGCTGGCTTTCTCGCGCCTTTTACATGTTCAATCTATGTTTTTGGAAACGTGACAGTTAGGAAGTCAGGTGGATATTCCTGGTTCGTGGTTTAATAATTTTGTAAATAATAAACACAGACGTGACCGTTCAATGACTTCGAACCTTTTATGAAATGAAATTTAAGATAATAACCCTATTCATGACAGTATTTTGAGGTTATCGATGTGGGTATTTATCGTCGAATGGAAATCGCGATAGGTACGGCTCTTACTGGTTTCCAGATAGTTAGGATTGTTCGTACTTTCTACAGGGAAGTTGTTTTGATGAATGTCACCGACCTGCCCGGATCTGCATGGCTCAGTCTTACCATTAATTTACAATGAATCATTGGACAGTTGAAGCCTACTGTCAAAATGGCGAGAGTTTAGTGCAAACGCGTCGTGATTTTCGATAGCATTTCAACATATAATAATAATACTCTTTATTCCAGAGACATACCCACAATACAATACAAAAATGTAGATTGTTTGAGGATACAAAAATGGCCTAGTGTCAAAGAAAGAGGAACAGTAACTATGTGTCTCTATAGGTACATAACTAGATACATTAATAGCAAATTTTCAATTCTCCAGGTTCAATCTCGACAATCAATTTCCTAGTTGCTTTCTTGAAATTTTTTAAAGTGGTTATACCTTTCATATCGTTGTTCGGGAGACTATTGAACATTTTCAAACAGATATAATAAGCACTTTTTTCAGTTAATGTAAGTTTATGACGAGGATAGCTAACAATGGTATTTCTCATTTTATATGTATGCAATGGATATGAATCAGCAAATATTGTAGACATTCATAAATATAAATACCAATTGTTGATAATAAGTTTTTTGCTTTAAAAATCCCCCTACAGCTCTCTCTATAATCCATTTTATGCATCACTCTCACAATTCTCTTCTGTATAACAAACACTTTTTGAATATCAGGATTACCTCCCCAAAAGATTATACCATATCTAATTTGAGATTCAAAATTTGCTAAATACATTATTCGAAGACTTTCTATATCTAAATACTTTCTGAGAACCCTGAAGCTATAACAGATTTTGTTTAGCTTCAGACACTGTCCATATGCTCTCTATAAGTTTAATACTGATCTATGTGTATTCCTAAGAATTTCGTACTTTCCACAATTGACTGCTGCTTGTCTAATATTTTGATACCTTCAGTTGTATCAATTTTAGCTTGCTTTGTTCTGAAGAGGATGACATTGTTTTTTTCCGTATTCAGTATAGATTTATTTATCAAATACCATTCCTCAATATCTGACAAAAGTTGACCGCGCAACCAACCTGTTCCGTCAAATAACGCGATTTTAAAGTGGGTAAACAACCTGGAGCAAACTGGTACAACGTTTAATAAACGAGGTGGTAGAAGGTGGTAGTGCCAAAACAGTTCAAACCCCTGAAAATATCGAACGTCTTCGACAAGCGATATCAAGAAGTCCACTGTATTTTGTGAATCGAGTATAGTAGTGTGGTCTTTGATCGAAGAAATATCTGGTCTTCTTCAGAATTTTTTATTGAAATTTCGTCATCTGGTTTTTCTGTTCTCCTGGGTCCTGAAGATATTGAAGATTACTGAAAGGCTTGCAAGAAATATGCTTTTCTGATATTATTTCGTGGAAATTTTGACAACTGTCCCGGATTTATGTTGACAATGGAAATTTATATGTCATTATGGCCAAAAATTATCTTGATGAAGACCTTCCAATAGTACTGAGTGATAATGAATCATCCTCGTCAGAGAAGATGCAGCTCCGAAGAAACGAAATCATTCTCTCCAATGTCCTCTATGTGAGAAACTCTTCATCAGTAGTTCAGGACTGAGAAAACATGAAGGAAGCAATGTTTGCCTCAAAAAACAGGCTATTCTCCAAAAACGAATCCCTATAAATACTAGAGATCCTCAGTCCATTGATAAATTACCTGATAATGAAAATCCATGGTCTTTCATTACGAATCTCCATGAAAAGGTCATTATTTTACGTCGTATTCCAAAATCAGTTAGACATACAGTTGCTGAATCATTGATATCTATAATAGATCGTTGTCTTTCCATTACCAGTAGAAGCAAATCATGTATAGACAATATTTTAACAGATAGTGACCTTAGACATGAAACAGTGGTTCTACATTCAATGATCTCAGATCACACAGCCCAAAAAATGAAAGTCTACACTCAAAGAGATTGCACAAAAGTATACTCCTTCAGGGCATTTAGCGAAGAAAATAAAAAAGAATTCAGTAGAGCGCTAAAAAATGTCATCTGGGGTAAACTATATGAATGTTGCCCAACGGAGATTGACGAGCAGTGGAATTATTTTTATAATACTTTCATTTTTCACTTTGACATATGTTTCCCAAATAAGAAAGTGCCAACCCATTCGAGAAAACCAACACACATGATTAAGAACTCACCTGAAGTCATTGAATGTAAATCCAGACTCGATATTTTATATGTACTCAAAAATGCAGATTCCAAATACAAAGACCAGTATGACAAAACAAAAAAGGAATACAACCTCAAGTTGTTAGAAGGAAGGTCGAAAATGTATCATAATCGAATTTGTGAATCTGACAATAAGAACAAAACTACATGGAACATTGTCAATGAAATCAAAGGGAACCAAAATCAAGCAAACGAGATACAATTGTTAGGACAGCCTGATGAAATCGCGAATAGGATAAATGATTTCATGATAAATGTTCCACGTAAATTGCTGGATCAGCTAAATGAGATACCTTTCTCAACCAACATCAAATCATGTAACGAGTCTATATTCATCCAACCAGTGGACGAAAATGAAATCTTGGAAATAGTTAGGAAGTTCAAAAATAAGTCGAGTAGTGGTGATGATGAGATTCCTGTGAGTGTAATCAAATCAGTCATCTTAGATATCATAGAACCCATAACATTCATTGTAAACAACTCACTAAGACACGGTATTTATCCAGAAAATTTGAAATTGGCATTAGTGAAACCATTGTACAAGAAGGGAGATCCATCTGATATTGAAAATTACAGACCTATAAGTTTGCTGTCGTCCTTCTCAAAAATTTTCGAAAAAGTCATGTGTAACAGATTGATGTCTTGGTTTCAAAGGAATGATTTTCTAACTTGCCATCAACACGGCTACCAAAAGGGAAAATCTACACAAACTGCAATTTTCGAATTCGTGCAGAATTCCATAGAAGCACTCGAAAATAAAGAACTTGTCCTAGGAACTTTTTTAGACTTGTCCAAGGCGTATGACTGCCTACATCATGATATACTACTATACAAATTGGACAAATATGGAGTCAGAGGACCTGCGCTTAGTTGGTTTAGGTCATATTTGTTGGAGAGAAAGCAAAGAGTAGTTATTAGAAAAGACAACAAAACAGTCAAATCAGATATTAATAAAATCTCGAACACTGGTGTTCCACAAGGCAGTATTATAGGCCCTCTACTTTTTATAATTTACATCAACGACCTGATAGAAAATCTCGATCAGAGCAAATGTTGTCTCACCAACTATGCAGATGACACAAACTTATTGGTCCGTGGTGAACTGTTCCCGGATTTGGTAATTAATGTCAATTATATTCTCAAAGTAACAAATGAGTGGTTTACAATGAACAAACAAATTCTGAATAAAAGCAAAACTAATTTTTTGTTTCTCACAACCAATCATCCCAGATCTGATATTCCAACACATATTGAAATTGATAATCAAAATGTGTGCATGTCAGAATATGTGAAATTTCTAGGAATGCACATTGATACTAAATTGAGTTGGATGAATCACATCAATAATATCAGTGGAAAATTGAACTCGTCTGGTTATAGTATAAGAATTATTGCTAAATATGTCAAGTACCATACACTTAAGATGGTTTACCATGCAAACGTAGAGTCAATCATGAGGTATGGTATCATATTCTATGGAAGCAGCAGGGCCGCAAACGCGATCTTCATAATCCAGAAGAGAATTCTCAGAATTCTCTGGAACTTGAAACCTGGAGATTCATGCAGAGGTTTATTCAGAAAAAATAAACTTCTCACCTTTTATGCAATGTTCATTCAAGAGTGCCTATTATTCATTTTCAAAAATAAACGATTATTTACAAATATGGA